GAAAAAGGCTCCCTTTATATATCTTTTTTGTTCAAAAAGAGAATATACAATATACAGTAAAGAAGTAACACTTGGCAAAGTCAGTGCAAGTTAAAGACTTTTAATTAAAGTTTAGATTAACAACAAACCTGAAAATGCCAATAATCCTTCTTCTTGAGCTTTTGTTCGATTTCCTACATCATCTGTCAAGAGCACGACTTCATTATGACTGCCTTTATTTGTCATTTTCTTGAGATGTGTAGAATACCATTTGACAGCAGACCTTATCGCTAATATGTATATATTTATGTAGCAAGAAAATGAGAAATTTTTCCGCTAACGCGCTTATAAAGTTTTTCAAATTAAAACCGACCTCTATCATTCCTATCATTTGGTGATTCATCTTTCAACCGTTGAATATAGGTATCGCTTCATTAATAATTTAGCCATATAAGCGATTAAGGAATTAGATCATAATTAAACTATATAATCATGAACATATACTATAAATAATGAACGTACCGATGATGTTCATTTGAAAATACATAAAACCGTTTTTTCTGATCACTTATTAATGCGCGTAGTCTGTTATAAATTGGTAAACTCAAATGGCGTAATTCCTCGTAAACAGTTTGCAGGACGATAACATCATGCAATGCTGGATGTTCAATGACATCTATCTTTAATAAAAGTATTAATTGTTAATTTCCAAACCAACGTAAACCAAAATTTGTTAAAAGATCAAGCGAACCTGGTTCATAAAAACATTGGTATCTGGTATAATATAATGCGGTCTTGGGATATGTTTTGTGAGCAGAGCAGACGTACTTAAAACTGATTCTGTTTGAGAACAAAGCGAACAGCATTCCACCGAGCACCAAATATCATCCCGTAAATAATGCTCTTGAACCACTTTGATCGCGTTTCCTTTTTTTGTGCGCTTAAGAAAGGATTTTGATTGAAGCATCTCTAACCATTAATATTCTGATAAATTCACACGCAAGTACATACAACAATTTGATTATAAGTTTTGTAATGCTTCCTAAAGTATATATCTATAATCGAAATATTTTGGCATAACGATAACGGATTTCCGATTGGCCTGATTGGCTGAAATTAAAACTCATTTTCCTTTTCTAATGCTGGCCATAGGAAGATATTCATCTAAACGTGATCATAGACCAATCAAATCAATCTATGCTCTTTGCTTTTTATTTCTCTTTACGTAATACTGCACCCACCCACATATCTTAATGAAAAATATACATTTAAAATTAACGAAAGTGGGATATTTTAATTATATTGTAATACTGTTTATTTAAATAACGAATACCCGTATCGATAGACTGATAATAGCATTGTATTTGATGATGTAACGATGCATCTTGCCGTTATAATAAATTGTCAAAATCTTTTAAATGCAAATTTATTTTTATTTTTTACAACTCTTTCTATCCCGATGATAGAATCTTTTTTTTTTATGTTAAGATAGCTGATACGTAGCCTCTTAAGGGTTAAAAATGTAAATTCGTACGTAAACTTGTGTAATTTACATATGGGGTGTCTTCAATTAAAAGGGCCCATTTTTACATTTATCTCATTTCGAGATAATTGAGTTTAAACATTTG